GTTGTCACGCATTATCTCCGTGACTTGCAGCCTTCACAACCTGTCTCGTGAGCAGTGCTCTGTAATTCCACCCCTGTGGCTGTCAGCAACCCTCCAGCTCCTCTATCCTTAAGGTGCCTCAGCATCGAGTTGACCACCAGTCGCCTCCAAAAACTGGGTGATTAGTGAGCGGTGGCACTGCTAGACTGTGGGTGACAGTATAAAAGCAGTAGTCCTGTAGGGAAAAGGTGTAGAAGGTGGTGATTGTGGGGGCCCTTGTTCTCGGAAGGGTCAAAACTGTGCCTTTTTAATAAAATTTTAAAAAGCTGTCCACTGTTCCTTCTTCTGTTCTATTTTACATGACCAGTTAACATTCATAGTGTAATCCACTTGGACTTCTATCAAATTAACTTTGATTTTAAAGACTTCACATGCTGAAGGTGTTTTTTTTTACTTGCTTTGCATTTCCTTTCCTCACATTGCCTCTCCATATTCCCGACTCCAGAATGTGCCCTCTCTGGTGCGGAATGCACTGTAGTCAGTGCATGTTGCATGGAGAAACCATAATTACTTCTAAGGAAATAGTTTTTTGGGCTCAGTCTGGGGAAAAAGCCATTTGAAGTCCTGTACAGTCCTTTTTGTTTTATTGGAACAGCGCCAGCAGTGCATGTTATGTTATTGTGCTAATCCAAAATTTAGACAAACTTTGAAAGATAATCCCATGAATTGCTGACTTACTCATTTTAATAAGATTCACAGCAGATGTGCAGGTCTGCCTGCATGGAAATGACTATTAGATCAGGGCCAAAAGAACAAAGATCACAGCCAGACAGGACAACAGACTAAGGCACACTGAGTCTGCCTGCTGTAGCCAGTGTTGGCAGGACATTTGTAGCGAATGTGAAATGCGCCATTCGGTCCTTTACTTTGCATGATATACAGTATACTGAGACTGAGATCAGGAAATTATTGATAAATCTTATTTTGTTAATATTTCTGTGCTTCAAAGCTCGGACTTTATATCTTGAAGCAGGTAACCTATGTAAATGTGGTGGCATCTATAGCTGGTAACTTGGCAAACTGTAGTTCTTTAGTAGCAGTTACTACAAGTTCTGTTCCAGTCTAAAAATGAAAGGTACTGTGGGAAAGATGCATGGTTTCTTCCAACCCGCACAACTGTAAAGCTTGAGAAAGCATAGAAAAGGCAACACTGAATGCTGGAGTCTCATGAATACCCACAAACCAAACCAGTGCAGTAATGTCTCATCTTAAACCAAGCAGATACAGGTACATACCTGCTTCGAGTTTCACTGACGCTCTGCATAACCCACCTTAGTTTATTAGGAATGAAATTATTTCAAAAAGTCAAAGTTGTTTCTCTTAGGATATCTTTTGTGTGTTCTGCACAGTTAAACGTGCCGAAGTTTGTTTCGGTTCTCCTTCTGTGTTACTGCTCTATGTATTGTTGCAAGTGGTTCACATACTCGGTGTTACGCATACCACATTTTGGAAACCTCTGCTCTGTGTTTCTATGTAAGGTAGCATATGTACCAAGAAGTTGAACGTTTTTTAGTTCTTAGCAATTATTGTGTAGCAAGTGTTTGGCCTGTCAGTTTTAAGTGCAACATTGTTTCATCTCTTTAACTTCACCATCAGATGTTTTGAGTTCACAGGGGTCATTGAACCAAAAGAGCAGTATCAATACGCTTTTTGCTATCTACAATTTATACCTACCATATTGACTTGCAAGATTTATTTACTTCATGGAATAAATGCTATGAAAGAGAGGATAATATTTGTTTGGTAGTTCTAGGAATGTTCTCAGGCACTGAGAAATAACAGTCTTATATGCTTTACATCTTCATTATTCCCAGAAAGTTGTCTACCTTCTTCTGTTGAACTTAGAATATTTTTGCCTGTTTCTGGAGAATAGCTTTGCAGGAAAAAAACCCTACATTTTTGCATTTTGCCAGCATATGTATCTGAACTAATCCTTTAATAGAACCTGATCTATGTCCTACGCTTTGCCAAGATTCCACTTTTCAAAGATAATTCTAAATCTTCTGATATTTGCCTTTTATTTTTCTGGCCAGCACCTTCTTGCAGAAAGAAAAACAATTTCCTCAGCGAGACAGCCCTCCTGACTTCAGCAAAAGTTTTTTTGGTTTTTTTTTCTCCCTTTTTACAGCATTGGGTTATCAACTGTTTGCAGTGTTTGAGCAGTGGTTCACCACAGTAAAGGCTGGCCTGATGTTTAACCCTTAGAGCTCATCTGCACAGAACAGAATATCAGTAGGAAGTTTTTGTGCTATTCTGCAGCTGCAAAGCATTCACATCTCTATCGCCACTGTGATGGGAGAGGTAAAGATACATCAAAACACAAATATGTAATTAACTTGAGAGGATAGCATTTAATAGAATTTGGAGGAAGATAGATTTCCCCCCCCATGAGAGAAACTTGGACCTCCAGACTTCCTACACTCCTCCTCCATACTCCTGATTTTCAAATAGTTTGGGCTTAGTCCAGTTATTCTAAAAATGTGTTTAGGTATGAATCAGCAGTATAAGCCTTTTAGTAACATGTTGGTTCCTCTCACAAACAGGACAAACCTGTGAAGGGTAGGTACCAAGTTACTAGAAACTTAGTTTTGAGGGCAGGTTTGGACACAATTGTGGGCAAAATCCATGACCCAATTTAGTAGATTTCCTGCTCAGGCCTCAACATATCTCTTGTTGTAACTGCCCAGGTGAGAGGCTGTTTTCTGCCTTCTTGTTTGCGCTCAGGAAGCTGCTCACTCTTGTCCTGGCCTTGCTACAGCTCCTGTAGTGTTTGGTAAGTTGATGGGTGAGTAAGTGGTTGGGTTGAATTAGTCTCTTTTAGCGTCAGTGCTACTTAGCGCTCTTCTGAACTGACCAGGAGATTGTACGGCTAGGTTACAGTGGCTAACCCAAAGCTTTGGTAGGCAGACTATTAGCTGAACCTCCATCTATATCCGGGGATGAGGAGGAAGTGTGAAGCTTTGCACTGATCTTACATGAAAAGATCTAGCAGTAGCACATCAAGACCACAACCATTATGACAGTTCTTCTTGGGACTTAACACACTAGTTATACATAGCTATATAATTTTAAGAGTAATTTGAGACTTAAATTTTGCCTCCTGGCAGTCACAAGAGAACGACTCTTTTCCCATAGACTTTGGTTACATTCAGAAATTCTGCATTTCTTTCATTCAGAATGTATGATTAAGGGCGGAATCACAATAGCAGTAAAGATTAGACAGTGCTGGAACAGTGTAGATGCACTATGTGCTACAATTGGGACTGACAATAAATATAACAGAGACCTAATGGTGTTGAGATTGTTTTCCTGAAGCTTGTGGAACTGTTGATGGAGGACCTATCCAGTACTAAAACACTAGTTTAACCTTTTGTGAATATAAAGAAGCCATTTTTTTTCATGTTACTGGCATTTCAAGCTGGCTGATTATGTTTGTCTAAATGTTCATGGCTCCAAGTTGTTTCTAATTAGAATGCTCTGAAAAAATAGATAATGCGTCGCCTCGCTTCAAACATTCTTGCAGATGCAAGCATGTTTGCAAGCATTCTAGCTTCTCATTTCCTTGCAGATAAGCAAAATAATTAAGTGCTTATCAAATTTACAGTGTTTATTTCTCTTTTCTGTTAGTTATTTATTACCTCCTCTTTCTTGCTTACGTTCTTGCCTGCCCCCATTTTAAGTTTTTTTTTTAAAATCTTTCCCCACCTTTCTCTATTCTTCAGTGTATTTAATCATCCCCAATTATAAGAGGTGGTATTAATCATATACTAGTCAGCACAGTAACTGGCTGGTAGTATTTTGTTGCGCATTGCATTTCTGACTTCAAGTAAAATTTCTCAGTTATTATAATGCATAGGAATAGCAGTAATACGCAAGTATTTTTTTAATCAGGTCGGAAATAATCACAATAGGATCAGCCCAGTAAACGCTGCAGGTTTTTGCAGCATGTATGACTTTTTGCATATCTAATGGGATTTTAAGTTGTACTTACAGGGTGACAACTGTGTTTCTAAAAGGTAGACTGTGTTACTGCTTACTTAAATGGACAGACCTACTGAATGCGTGCTGCTGATTGTGGAGCAAGTATTTGGTATTTTTGTAATGTGCTGAAAATGACGTGTTTGAGGCTTTTGTTATAATACACTTACATACAGTACACTAGATACAGGAATTTTCACCACAGACTTGTATTTCTGCCACAATTTTCTTGTCTACGTCACCTGGAAGGTAATATCTTTCATTGGCTAGAAACCAGGGCTCAGATTTCCAAAGATGTTAAAGGATGCTTTTTATCTGGGGCAAGTGCTTTTATTACCATTTCCATTGTTTGAATATGTGTTGCTTTATATTTTCTTCCAGCTTTCTTACCAGTAGCAGCATATTGATCCTCTTAATCAGAATAAATTCCATTCTGCTAGGAAGAAATGAAATAGGAGAGTCAGCTGGCTTTGTGCTTTGCTCTTTTTTTTTTCTTTTTTAACTTAAAATAGGAACTCTTTCCTACAAAAAAGTTGTAATATGTTTAGCTAATTTTTGGATGCTACCTTCTGTAATAAAATAAACTATTTGAATGTATAGCATTTTGTGAACCCTTTGAATACAGAAATAGAATGGCTGAACAAAAATGCTGGGTTTTTCTATAGTTCTTCTGTTGAACAAGCACATTGACAATTCAGATAGGATAAAGTCTGTTAGAGATTGCAATCTTTCTATAGAAGAGCTTAGGCGAGTCATGGTGGAAGTCTTTTTTTCATATCCAGCTCTTCAAGGTTTAAACAACACAATAAACTTCAGCGAAAGGCCAAGTGTGTTTTTAGGATGAGACACTCTTAAAGGGAAGACGAGTATTCTAATTTTCTTATAGAGAAGTGTTAGCACTTAATAAATGTGTTTATAGTCATTCTACCTTATATTTAATCCTGTTTCTAACTCTTGTTTTTTTATATGTATTTGTTTTTCAGGCAGCAGCATCTGTCCAAAGTCCTTAATATTGTCTAGGTCTTGTACAGCGAGTGCCACAACCAGGCTAGTTGAGCAGAATGTACACAATGAAGCGGCTCAGGGAATAAATGGAAGTGTGCCAGTCAAACAGTCCCCACGTTCAGCTTCAAATCCAAAGCCACAAGGTAAGTAGTCTCAAATATTTTTGTTAGGGAAGTTGTTCTTCATCTCAGACTTTAAGAGAAATAGAGCACCTTGAAAGAGCTGTATTTGTCAGAAAGAAAGTAGTGGGATAAAAGCTTGCTACTGAAATATGAGTGTTCTGTAAATGCTTTATGAATCTGTAATTTCTGATAGTATTTTGCTGAAACAGGTTCTCAGAAGAAAAGTTGGACTTACTAATATGTTACAAGCTCATAGGTCTAGCTACACTTCTTATCTCAAATGTCTAGTAATTTGTTGTGCACTTACTGCCAGGCAGCAAGTGTTAAATTCGTTCTCTGCCCAGGAAGTGGCTAATAGGTAGAGATGGGAGAATGTGTGTAAGCCTCTTGTTTGTATCAAACTATTGCCAGGGCTTATTTTTCAAAAGAATTACTGTATTTGAGCTGGAAGGTTTTGATTCTGTTTTTGAATTGGAGTGTTTGGCAGGCTGGCTTCAAGGCAGGGGTAGTGGGGAAGATATTCAGGGCCTTTGGGGTTCTAGCAGAGCTTGAGAGGAGCCCTCCTGCAGAAGTATGTGGAAAATTGGGAACTTCGTGTTTACGCAGTAAAAGCTGACCAATAATGTCTGCAGAGTAGAAGTAGATTTTCCTTCTTTCTGTCCATAAACAATATCTTCACTTTTAGAAGCTAAATAGGTCAACCTACATGTTGACTTCATACATCTAAACCTCAAGCCATCTTTTTATGTGGTCTTCTCAGGAATATTGATGATTCTGCTGAGGGTGATCACAGCAAAGAGTCAGTATGTTCTGGAAATCTTGGATTCAAAGTGAACTTGGACTGATGTCTTTTAGGAGTGACATGCAATAGGAACTTCATTCATTTCAAAAGTTAAACAAAAAGAGTGAGTTTAGGAGACAGATACTATGATCCTGCTCAGTGAATTGGATTCTAAGATATGTTGCTGATGTGACAGAAACTAGAATTACTTATAGAAAACTGGATCACATCTAATCACATAGAGAAACTAGAATTGCATAGAGTCATCATGTAGTGGATTTAACAGTATCTGTATCAATTAATGGAAAATACATATTGAAAAATTTTGCATCAGTCCCAAGGTCATCTTAGAGTTAAGGAGGGAAGAAATTTATTGGGGTGTCAAGAAAGTTTTGTTTACTTAGGGAGAATGAGAGCAAACTAAAGCTGTGGGTTTTGTATTGTTTGTTTTTATAGAAATTTTGCCAGTGCTGTTCCCTGAACTAAGGTGTTTTTATCAGTCATATGTAAACTTTACTTATCTGAGTAGTCCTTCTGCACCAGTTCCTAGGTCTCTGAAACGTGTTCTCTGAAACTAAGTTAACATGAGAACATGTGTTCTTCCTAGGAAAAATATTTTAGAAATCTGTTAATGGATAAATAGAAATAGGAAATCAATAAAAAGATTTTAAGCCTTACAAAAACAAAGCCAGCCCACTTATTATAAATTTCAGCTGTTAGATAAATTAGGAGTTGGATATTATTGGACTCCATTCATTCAAGTAGTTATGCAGCTGTTGTTGCTCTTCCCTAGCCATGACTTCTGTGTTTGTCAAAATTGCTTGCTCCAAAATGTGGCATAGCCAGGAATAGTGTTGCAGTCTAAGAAATGCAGCTGTATAGATTATATTCAATAATACTGTTGTAAACAGTGTTTTGTGCCTGCTTTGTTCATGGGTCTATGTCTTTCTCCATTTATTTCTATTAAATATGTGCATCATATTGAAGTTATGTAGTATATCTTTTTGGCCTTTTTATTTAATGGAAGCAAACCAAAATAGAATGAGTAAGATAAGTGCTTGGGAGTCCAAACGATCCAAGCAAACTAAATTGCTCTAGTTTGTTGGTTTAAATGTGGTTGCTGATTTTTTTTTTTTTTTTTAGACAGCTTTTGATGTACAGGTACAGAAACATTTTTGGTTTATAGTGGGAGGAAATGTTTTATCCAAATGGTTGTTCTAGTCATGCAAATACTAACTGTTCTTTCATGGTGAAAGGAAATGAGATGACAGACCTGAATTGTAATGCCAGTATATTTGATTGTTGATGAACTAACTGCAAAATGACCTTCATCTAACCTACCATGATGTATATTATTAAAATGAGAGATATAAAGATGACTTTGAGGTTGCATTGCAAGCGGGGTACAGCTTTTTTTAGTAAACTTAGCTTTAACGGAGGAAATGGAGCTTTAATATAGAGGAAGAATGTCCGAAGTCCTGCACTTGAAGTGAACCCTGGACTCTGAACCTGTTTTGTCTGTACTTGGTCTCTGAGAAGTAGTTTAAATATTTGGAAACGGATCACTTAAGGTAGCTAGATCAAGTGAATAAATTTCTGCACAGACTCCAATATAAAATTCTTTCTTTTCATTTTCATTTTTTTCCCCAGGCATTTCAAGGAGAAAACAAACTATCTGTCTGATACACTGACAGTAAAAGAGCAATTTTTGTTCCCCAGTAATTCCTTCCATCAACAATTTAGCAATTCATATGTCAGATTTCTGTGTTGAGTACAGTTTGATTCATGAAAATCTTTGCAAATTTGGAACAAAGCCTGAAACTGACTGAAAGCCGATGAGGAAGTTAAGCAAAGAAATCAGGACTGTGGAGAAAAGCAGTCACAGTCCGTACCAGCTGCGAAACATGGTGCTCCACCTTTGCATCAATGCAGTGCATTCTGTGATAACATGGACTAATACAGACTAGAAGTGGTTACTGGAAATAGCAAAATATGCTACTGAGTTCCAAAGCAAATATGATGCATGAGAGAGGAAGCAAGTTGTTAGATAATTTGAAATTTGCCCTTACCTACAAATATTTGGGCAGCGATCTGAACCTAGCAATAGCAGAATGCATGTAGAGGGACATGTACAAATTGACCAGTTTTTTCTAGTTTCTTCTATTGCCTACTCTTTGAACCTCTTGCATGAGTTTTAGATGATGTCCAATTACTAAATACTGGGCAATGAAACTGTTGTCTGTACCAGGCAGTTTTATTGTAGAATAGAAAATATGTTGAAATGTCAACACTTCTTCAAAGCAGTGAAGTGTCGTGTCAGTTCAAGACTGTGCATCAGTTGCTCATTTAAATTTTTCTAATGAGTGCTTAGGAGTACTTGTGAATCTCCTGCTGAGGCTGAAGAGGAATTTTTGTTTGGGTTGGAGGTGATTTTCCACTCCAGAAGACGGCCTGGTTTGTGCTGCTGTGAAATGGTATGTGTCGTGGTTTAACCCCAGCCAGCAACTAAGCACCACGCAGCCGCTCACTCACTTCCCTCCCACCCAGTGGGATGGGGGAGAAAATCGGGAGAAGAAGTAAAACTCCTGGGTTGAGATAAGAACGGTTTAATAGAACAGAGAAGAAGAAACTAATAATGATAATGATAACACTAATAAAATGACAGCAGTAGTAATAAAAGGATTGGAATGTACAAATGATGCGCAGGGCAATTGCTCACCACCCGCCGACCGACACCCAGCCAGTCCCCGAGTGGCGAATCCCTGCCCCCCCACTTCCCAGTTCCTAAACTAGATGGGACGTCCCATGGTATGGAATACACTGTTGGCCAGTTTGGGCCAGGTGCCCTGGCTGGGCACGAGAAGCTGAAAAATCCTTGACATTAGTCTAAACACTACTGAGCAACAACTGAAAACATCAGTGTTATCAACATTCTTCAGGTACTGAACTCAAAACACAGCACTGTACCAGCTACTAGGAAGACAGTTAACTACATCCCAGCTGAAACCAGGACAGTATGGATGCAAAGCATTCAACACGTAGACTTCAGCAGTCAGTTTCAGCTACCTACTGTGTAGCATCAATTCTGTCCTCCTTTCTCAGTTAATTATTATATAGTCTGTGGTTTTGAAGGTATTCAGTGGCCTAGGCCCAGAAAAGCTGAAAGACCTCTTAAATGCCTGGGATGTAGACTGTACTTTTCTGACAAATGAAGCTTCTACAATTAAAGGTGAATTGAACTAACACTGAGAGCTGTTTCTAGCTAGGCTTCTCCAATCTCAGTGGTGCTTGGAGAGATGTGTAGCAATGTCTCTTTTATCAACAAAACTGCTAAATCCCAAACATTATCTCCAGAAAGAAGAGAAACGAGAGAACAAAGCACATCTGGTTATTATTGGTCTTCTTTCTTAATACATTATTGGAAGATACTTGTTCTGATGTGATATAAAAATGTGGAAATGTACATCCTAAAGAGGAGATGACTTTCCTCTCCTTCTGCCGAGTCTTGGTTACTAGTTATTTTGTACTGTTCTTGGGAGTGTAAATCTTTGGTATCTATCCAGCTGTGCTCATTTGATCTTCCTGAAGATGATCAAGTATGCAAGGAGGTGATGAAGGGTGACTTAGCCAGGAGAGCTGTAGTTGCTTACCACAGGAAATTTTAACTGTGTATTTTCATTGAATCAAAGTGTAGCAGTGTTTTTAACCAGCAGAAGTTAAATGCATCCTCCCATTTCCTTATGTACATGTACAAAGTTGAATACACAACTAGGCACTGCAGCTTAATTCTTGATTAGGTGGTTTGGCTAGCGTTATATAGTAGCAGCTACCTGAGTATACTGAGGGGTTTTCTTTGGGCAGAATATGCAGTTCGTATCTCCTAATGACCTCAAAATTCTACAGTATAGAGACAAGAGTATTTATAGACTCCTAACAGAGCTCTGTATTATGCAGGGTATTACAATGGGCCACTCTTTTATCTTTTTTTTTTTTCTTTAAGATCCTTGCTGTGTGCACATTGAAAAATAATCTGATTAAAACAAAACACTACAGAAGTACATTGAGGGGAGAATTAATGGAATTTGTTTTCCATAATCCCTGTTAACAAGGCTGACCTTACAGGAAGGTTTGCAGGTTTTTTTACACTACTGGTTCTTTTCTTTTCATCAGTCTTGTGACTATCCTTTTCTCATTGCTCTATTTCTAAAACTTACAGTAGCTACAGGAGCAGCTGATTAGGGTAAATGCTGTCTGTTAGATGGTAATGGGGAGCAAAGAAGGAAATATCTTACATTAGTGAATTGGCATGGCTGGTTTGTGGTTCTCCTCTGAAGACATTATAGGGATTTTCAATATACTGGGATTGTCCAGTTTGACCAGAGGTTCCTTGTGCTGCCCTACTGAAATGCTGCTAAGCTGGGCTTTTTTCAGTAATAGCCGCAAAAGTGTGCGATACCTCCACAGAATGTCCTAGAATTTAATTTTTGTCCCAGTGGATCCAGTATAAAAATAGCTTCCAACTAATTCCTTCTGCTTTATCAGTAGACATTAATTCCCTCCAGTTTAGTATTAATTCCCTCCAGTTTAGTAGTTTTAATATATCCTTGTGAGACTATTAACATTTTATGAGATGTACAAAAGAGTTTAAGAGATATACAAGTCTAATAAAGAAGAGAATTCACAGGATCGCAGGTTATACAAAATCCATTGCAAGAGTAAGAAGTGTTTCTACAAACTAGCGTAGTGCTGGTCAGTAAATCCACCCAGCGTCCCCTTTCCCTTCCATCTCCTCCCCGAGGGAATGGCAGTGCCCATGCTCAATTGTGTCCTGCTTTTTCCCAGCCTGCTTGTGTCGCCTTTTTCAGCGGTCCCATCGCCTTTGTCAGTGCAGCAAGCTATTCAGCGCTTGGACAATTATCTGATGCTCATTGGCCTAATTCTGCCAGACCTTCTCCAAACTCGCTGAGAAGAGGGAATATAGGGAAAGCTGCTCCACTGCACTGCAGCTGCAGCTGAGCAAATGTATGCGGCTTCTCAGGAGGGGCTTCAGTTACTACAGATACTCAGCAGTTACACAATTTCATATTCTGCTTGTTTCAGGGTTGCACTGTAACTGCTTGAAAATTGCAGTAGTTTTAAGTCATCCTTTCTGCACTGCATCCTTCCCCAAACTTGCTTTTTGCTTATGTTAATAAATATAAAATAAAGCTTGAAAGGACCAAAGATACACATATACACAGTAAAAGCATCTGATCTACAGTAATTCTCTTCTTTTCCCTCTGATTATTTCATTTATCAGCATTTGTAGTTGATATGGTTGAAGTCTAAAGCTTTTTGCGATACATTTATTTCTTCGTAGGGTCCCTCCTGGTACTTTTGAGACTGCAGCAGTCACTATAATCCCATTTAAGTGCAATTAGGTTATTGGAAGCACAGATGAATGTTACCTCCTATAAATTTAACGAAAGGTAGAGATGGAAAATTGCCCTTAATCAAGTGTTCCTTCAAGTTTATCATAGTCGGTGATAGTATATTTGCAGGAATTTTTTCAACAACTCTTTCAAATGTCAGTTGATGGGATTTAAGCTAATTCCTGCGGTGTGCAGGTTTTCCAGGGTAAGTCAGCAAGCTATTCTAGAGTCAGCGATGCAGGGAACATGGCTTTTTCGCATCCATCTATTGCATATCTTGTACTAGTGCTTATTTTTCTACTGTGAGAGTTGCATGTGATTCCTAATGCCAGTTCCTGTGCTCCCCTTTGTGTTTGCTCCCTGGCAGGTCTGTGTAGTTACTGGAGGGCTGGTGCCTGTGGAGCGGCAGCCGAGCCCCTGGGGCTGCTGGTTCCCCTGGCAGGGCATTGCCTACTCCTGCTGATTTATGCCTGCCTTTTATTAAAGGGCAGATATTTTTCAATTTTTCAATTTCATATCAAATGCTTTCACTTCTCCCCACAATATGTTTTGGGAGTGTGTGTGGGAACGAACAGAGTTATGTTCTTGGGAATTAAGGACCTTTCCATTAAGTCTCTTTTTGATGGAGCGGGAGGTGCGTTGCTCTGATAGTGGAACACATTCAGACCCTGTCTGTGAAATGCTTTTGCTGCCCACAAATGCTTCACAGTCGTGTAAAGGGATACAGGTTAAAGATCCCCAGCACTTGTGACTTCAGTTGCTTTATGTGTCACCTTGTCTTTTGTGTTCTAGTCACTGCTGTATTAAACAGTGGCTGATCATTAACAATCTAATTAGAAGCACTTACGGTAGGGATGGAGAAAAAGAAAGAAGAATAAAAAATATTTTCAGGAGGCCAGGTTTTCAGCAGTATAAATAGACAGAGGTTCACTGAGTAAAGAAAGCTCGAAGCTGAAGGCAAAAACCTTTTCCACTGACTATTATTGAGGTCATGAGGGAGAATATAAAGAATGAGAGCACCAGAGTTTTGGGGCAGCAATTTAAATCTCTCTTGAGCTCCACAGCACAGCTAGATCCTTTGATTATGCTTAATTCTTTTTTACAATAAAACCTGCATTTAATGAAGTCCACATATGTGTTTACTACAGTACACTATAAAAAAAAAAACCAAAAACCTAACAAGAAAACTCCCTAATTTTCTAGCTTGTTCAAGTAGCACGTGGTTTGGCTTTTATCCAAGAAATATAGCAAGGTGCCTGCCTGATACCAGACAGTGCATAAAAAACTATATGAAGTCCCTGTATTCATAAAGCAACTTTAAGGTTAAGTGAAGCCAAGAGCATCTCTTCTTCGTTACTGTAGTAAGTTCTTAAGCAAAAATCTCATATATGTTCTGGCAGCTCAAAGGAACAGTTAATGAGCGATTGATTGTTGTTGTTGTTGTTGTTTGCAGTGCCTCCAAAGCCAATCCATCTGCAGAAGGTGTCACCTGTTACATACCAAACCCCTAGGCATAAAGCTTTATCAAATCAGAAACCAAGAATGGAGGAAGAGACACCCACCCCTGTTTCTAGTGTCGCAAAGGAAAAGTCCAGTAAAGTGTCAGATCTTATCAATCGTTTTGAGGGAGGCAGGTATGTAATAGAATTTGAATTGGTTTGTAACTCTGTTGTGTGTGGATTGTTGGAAGTTGAACCTGTGAGGAAGATCATTGGTACCGCGGTAATGCTCAAATCCATCCCTGCCAGAGGAGTTGATGGCAAAACTGCACATTTTGAAATGGTGCAAGCCAGTTGTATGTTTGGCCTGTACAAGGTGTGCTTTTTCATGAGGTGCTAGTCTTAATTTTTCTTTAAAAAACAAACAAACATGTAACATTTTTAAAACATCCTGAAAAATGTCAGCAATTAGAAATAAGTGCTGATTTTAGAATGAAACATTGGAGCTAATCTTAAATTATTTTGTTCTTGCAGAAAAAAAAATATTTACTTTTATAAGCAGAGAAACCTGTAATCCTTATTTTCCTTTTATACAGTCTTAACCTGTTCATATCATTCATGTGGAGAGGGTGAACTGTATGAGTTATTTGTATTGATATGGCATACATTCTCTGAACTGTTTGCTTTGTAGTACTTGATTTTGGTGAATAGCTTGGTGTTCATGAGTTTTGATACTGCCTTTTACAGGAAACATTTGGAACTTTGAGAAACATGAGCCACAGTGAATTCTGCTTTCGCAAAATAGTGTTACTTGTGTGTCTTTAATTAGATGTACATGACAAGCATTATAAGCTCTGGAACCGAAGTTCTGAATATATCTGCTCTGTATAAAGAGAGCAAACCTCCAGAAAGCCCGTGACAGAGGAACAGCTCAGGAAACAGTCCAGTGACAGTTCAGTGTTGCAAATTTGGGATGTGGTTTTCTTGTGTTTCCTCGGGATACTAATGTTCTGAAGGGATGCCCCGTACAGGAGTGAATACGTGGTGTGCAACAGAGCATGTCCTTCTGATGAGCCAGAGTATTAAGACTTTCATTGAAAAAATTTCCCCTTAAGATGGGGGAAACTTAATCCCTTATACAGAAGCAGCTGAGCATTGCAATATGTTTGTCTAGTGGAACAGAAATCATTTCAGAGCTTCACCTGTAGGAAACTTCTGTCATTAGGCAGAGACTTAATTGCACTCTGTCATGACAGCTGCTCAAAGACGGGAAAAAGAAATTGCTGCAGCACTGGAGGTCCTGTGAATTCTTCTAGCACAGGTCTCTATAGTCCTGTTATCACTTTGTTTTCCAGTCTTCCTCCAAAGCATCACCCAAGTCTTTTTAACAGTGTGGTACCCTTAGAAAAACAATTTTAACCTTTCTGAAAGGAAACTCTGCAGGTTCATTGTGCCCTACACCAATGGGCCCTACGTTTCTTCCTCCTAGACATGCCTGCTGCATTGTACAGGAACTTTTTCAATATTATGCAAATAAAGGAAGCTATAAAGAAATAAAGGAAAACTTCCTTATTGTAGACTTCTAAAAGTAGGGACATTTTGTTTTGGGAGCTAGGGGAAGCTGAGTTGCTTTTTGGCCAACAACATTCATTAAGTACACCCAATAATGTCTGTCTAATAATTAAATTCTCCTCAACTCTATGATCTCTGCTTATAAGAAACTTCCATAATTAGCATGCCAAGTTCTGGAATACCCTGCTGTGGCCATGGAAGCAATTCCTGTTTTTTGAATGAGCTCAGCTCACAAAATGTGTGTCTTCTAGGAAGGTGAACTTCGCTTTTAATTATTGGTCTTCACATGACTAGGTAGCATGTTCATGAACTGCAAACTGTGATTGTCAATTATGATAACTTATTTTCATTAGTCTGTACAGCCCACAAACATGTAGGTATGGCAAAAAGTTAATTAAACCTCTTTGCAGTGTGCATGCAATTGAAAAGCGTAAATTAATTCTATCTTGGAGTTAAGCTTATTTTTAAAAAGAGGCATAATCTCTACACAACTAAAGGAAAACTGATTAATTTTTTTTTTGTATGATGGAAGAAGACAAAGCTAGTGTAAGATATTTTTTGAGCTCTGTGTACGAAAGTGCAGAATACATTTACAATATTTGTGTAAACCATCTTATAAATAAGGAGTAAACATACAGTTTATAAGTAGTCTTCATCTTTCCCAAAGATTAATGGTCCATAGTAGGAACAGTATGTTAGAGGACAGTCATGGTATTGTTTTGCAAGTTGAATATGGCTTGTTAAATGTACTTCAGACAAAAATGTATAGGTTTTATTTTGGTTCCAATTTTTTTTTTTTTTAAACTATAATGAAGCCAAGCACTTTTACAGAGTAGGCTACCATTTATATTGGCCTAAAATTCAAAATCTCAAAAATAAAACAGAGAGATAGTGAAAGGTATGAACAAGGGATAACATGTTTAAAGAAGAAATAAAATGTAGAGGAAAAAACCTTCAGAAAAGATGCAGTGTGATGAAAGAACACTGCTAAATAAGGAAACTGGGGGAAGAAATAGGGTAAGAATTTAAAGCTCCTCTTGTAATATGCTGAACTAAGGAGAGGGATGCTAAATGTTCTTGGACGTTTTTCACGCATTTTGTATAATTAAACAGCAATTAGGGAACAGGCTGCTTGTTAGTTTTAAGCATTGGACTGGGACTTGGGAGATCATGAGTCTGTCTCCATTTCCGCCAATAATCTACTGGGACTCTTTGGGCAAGTTGCTTCATGTATTGGTGCCTGAGTTCCCTTTGTTATGTGTAGCTGATAATGCTGACTTCCATTTTAAAAGTGAGATTCAAGACACATGAGGATGTAATGAATCAATATGGGTGGCACTCTGGGTTTCCAGTAAGAGATGCATGTTTGCGTGGGTTTCAACAGAATAATGCTGTTCAAGTCTTGGTGGCCTGAACTTCCTAATATTAATACAGGAAAAAATGTTTTGAGCGGAATTGGTTATATGGTGCAACTCTCCTACTCCCCATACCAGGGGTTTTCTAGAACACCATGTTTAACTTTTCTCTCATCTATGTTTTGTTTGTTTGGTGGTTTTAGCCCGTTAAATCCTAGTGATTTGAAGAAAGATTCCTCTGTTCTCCACATTTCTAAATCTCAAGGAAGATATGGGTCAACACCATCACCTCAGCCAAAACTCCCCTCCCAGCACCCACTACAAAAACAGGGAAACAGTAATACCGACAAAACTCAGGTTGTACAGCTACACACAGCCAACGGAGTAGTAGCACAAGACCAGACGGAAGATGAGGACAGGAGATTACCAGATCGTGGCTCTGCTATATCCACCCTGGTTCCAGATAATGCCATTGACAGCAGCTTGATAAATGGGGAAAGAGAAAGTACTTCCAGAGAGTCATTGCAAAGTATGACTGCCTGTGAAGGACAGATGCTTAACAGCTGCTACAGGACTCGAAGCAGTGATACACTGCTCCCATCTGAAAATGAAACTCTAGAAATTAATACTAATGTGAAGGAAGAACCAACTGAGGAAATGAGTAAGCAAGATCAACCTGTAGAAACAAAGGTAAAAAGAGAAATGTTTTCATTCTTGCTATAGTACTACTTTCTGTATTTCTCTTGGGTTTTATTTAAAAAAATAAGCTTCCAAGAGCAGGTCAGAACGTTGAAAATCTTTTGGTTTTTTTTCTCTGGAAAAAAAGACAGGAAAAAAGCTTTGCTTGCCTTTTCCCCCCTTTACTACTTCCCCTCTCTCCTTCTTCGCATAAGCTATCTGAGGTTTAAAAAAAAGTGAAACTGGAATATGTGTACATGTTCAGCACTGTGCTTCAGCTGTGCCAGACTACAAGGGACACATGTTAGTGGTGTATATAAAATAAAATTCCATGTGTAGTAAACTGCAGAAACAGGGCTTCAGGCAGAACTGTCACGTGAATACTTAACTTGGATGTAGTTGTCAAGTCAAAGCTGGAAAGGCAGTGGCAGTCTGCTAGCTATCAGATAGACGCAAGGTTCAGAGTATACTAAATATATGCCTTGTTAGCAAGAACAACTTATATCATGATGCATTTGAGCTTCCTCGTAAGGAAGGCTTTAAATAATTAAGGGAACTAAGTGGGTGGAAGAAAATCTGTCTTGGGAAATTAATTGCTCAAAAATTGTGCATATTTCCACTTCTAAAAGTTTGATCATGCAGTTTGCCTTCTCATGCTGAAGCATTCATTGGTGGCCAGTGAACATCACTAACAGTTCTGGTCCAGCTGTGCCATGTGTGAGTCGTGGCAGGGGGGCTGGAGCGGACCCTCCTGGCCTTCCTCTTCACTGCAGAGCCTAACAAACAGCTGAGCACCGATAAAGCTCATCACTGCTTGTCAGGAGTACACCTGCATCAGTTAACTACAGACCTCTCCAAGCCCTGGAGTTTGGTTAGCTAGGGGTCACGAACATACACGCTTGAGGGGAAATTCCGTGTGTGGGAAAGGTGGGTCTCAAATTCTCATGTATTATAGGATAAAATATCCTGGGTAACGACAAGAAGGGGCTGGTTTGTGTGGATTTTCTTGTTTGCTTTAAGGGTTGTTTTTGCCAGTAATGAACGAACATTATTATTCCCATCTAAACATAAGCCTGGTTGCTGTCCAAGGCACCTTTAACCTGCCACACCTGTCATTATGTTTCTATCTCCTGTTCAGTAATGCCTGTTTCCCCTCTCTGTGCCAATAAAGTGCTGAATGCTCCTTGGGCAGCGATGTTAAGCTTGAATCCAAGTCATGCAGTAAGGTGCTGGCAGCATTTTCAGGAAAAAGCAGAAATGGGAGGCACTTCTGTTGTAAAGTCCAGGAAGGAACTGGGCAAATGTTAATGGCAGCAATCTCATCAAAAATCTGTCTTTGAGCTGCAGCAACCAACACATGTGATCTGTCCTATATTGACCAAGAGTCAGATTGTGAGGTGTAATGTGACTGCTACGAGATATATTGTTTGCTGGTGCTTGAAGGGTAAAAAACCAAAACAAACCACACCCGTGCAGGATGACTCTTGGGTCAGTGTTGGGAGCGAACTGCATCTGTAAAACCGAATGAAGTGGGTCACAGCAGCGCTTCCTGAGATACCAGCCTGCTTGCGATACAAGGACATCCCCTTTAGTCCAGTGAGGTTGAGAAGCATGTCTACCACAGACTGATCTAAGGGCCATGCTTTACAAAATCAAACACTGATTTAGTTTGGATTAATGCAACTTAGAGATTGAAATCAGCCCTGTGGAGGTCTAAGTAGCTGCTGCCATGCTGTCTGGAATAGGGGGAGGGTGATGAGGAACAGGAGAGGTCTGGTGGAGCTTTAAGCTGTTTCTGCATCCAAGCAGGCATTGGGAAGAGGTAAGAGCATTTAGACATTCTGTGATTCTGCTAAGCGCCCACTTAGTAAAGAATCTTAAAACTGGGATGCAGTCCAGTTGAAGTTGCATTGCACAGACTAACAGCACTCTTCTGCCCTTTTTAATTAAGCAAGTGTAGGTACAATTGAGTAAAAGCAATAGGAGCAGATGCATGTGAGTCATAGACAAACTTTAAATTATGCATCTGATATATGTGTTTTGATACTGATGCAAAGTATCTTCTTTGTCTCTTGCATGCCCTATTTCCTAATTCAGGGAAGAGAAAAAAAGCGATGCTATCTGTTTGTAAATGCATACATGTACAGCAGAAGTAAACCAAGTCCACTGCTGGAAAGGGTGAATTAAATTGGGGAATGGTGCAAAACTAGAGCAGAAATTACTTTTTAGACTCGGAAAAGAAAGCTTATTTTGAAATAATGTTGCTCTTACAATTATTTTTTTTCCCCTTACGACTATAGATCTGACTAAAGTCAGATTATTATTGGAGGTTCTGGAAAAGTTGAGACAAAACTCACTAAATTTGGCAGTGTTCTGAAACATTTTCCCCAAATGACCAAAGTAGAGTATGCTTTATTTTTCTTATTTACTGAATTAATTTGATAGTCACAAACCACAAATATCACAAGCAAAAAGACAATTAAAAGTGAAAAGTTTCTTGCCTTGCAGCAGAAGCACCTTCTGTCATAAAAGTTGGTTTGCCTAAAACGCGGTGGCTGAATAGTACAAGAACACCCCAATCAATTAACTTCCTGAATAACATCTTGTGAGAAATCTGCTGCTAGTGCTAACTGAAGACAAGAAGACAAATGCTTTGGTATTTGTTGTGAGACTGGTAGGAAATGGGGATATAGACTGCATGCATGCCACAGATGGAGAAGAATCCATTGTGCATCTTTAATATAAAGTCCTTACTTGATGTCTTCTCTTAATGGCAATGTTGGGGGCTCTGATGTTTCAAATGCAAAACCTGGTGGAGATGTGTATTTGTAAATGTAAGGTGAAGTTTTGATTTAAATAGGGTGAAACTTTGTTGCAAAGTTAACTTTCTGCCAAGAAATCTTTTACTGTTGCAACACTTGAGAGCTTCTACCAGCTTCTTCCTGGTTCTACAATTTAATGGTGGTCTTCAGCAATAGTAAATCACGAACAAAGCTGTGTATCTTTAGCACCCAATATAAATGTGGAAATCCTCTTGAGAAGAATCACTTCGTTGGGGTACCAGGATCTTTACTGCTTTTCTTGGTTGCTGTGCAAGAAACTCACCCATCATTTGTGCAATAGACCATTGCAGAGAGTTAATATGCCAGACACTGATAGTAGCACTCAGGATTTTCATTGCAGGTCTTGCACAACTTAGCGCTTTCTTTGATTTCAGAAACTGAGGACTCAAGAGATTAAAGGAAATCTTAAATTCTGCTGCAAATTTACATTTATATTCCCAGTACTTAGGGAGAAAGCTTTGGGTCATGAAGCAGCTATGACATGAATTGTTTTAGAAGAGAAAATCCCCACTCTTACTTGAGACCAAACTCAGCATTACAAACAAACAAGCACAACATGGGTTGAATGATATTTGTTCATACTCTATATCTCTCACCCCATCTGTGTTGCTTAATATATTACTGCAAAGCCCTTGGGGCAAGGGCTACACCTAAATAGGAGTGAATAATATTTAGCATCACTATCATGTTGTTAGGTATAGTTTCATTTCTATTATCTTATCCTACTTGTGAGAAGAGATGTGTGCATTTACGGTTATATCCTGTGAAAATAAAGCTTAACTTGTAACTTGAAAGAGAATTAAAATTCCCTTTTACTGTTAATGATTAGATTTGATACAGTAGTTCTTTAGAGAAGCATTGAAGTTCTCAGAAGTTGAATACTAACTTAATGGTTTTTAAAGATTTTTCTTTTAAGACTTTTCCTCCATTATCTCTACGAGGTTTTTTAAGGCTGTTTTGTTGAAGCTCTAGTAACGAATGGCTCTGTGTCATTGTCACTGTCACAAACATCATTCAGGATTTCTTTCCAAATTATGTTGTAAGACTTGCTTCCTGCTACTTGGAATAGCCAAACTTGGGTCTGCAGAAGCCGAGCCCCTTCTTGGATCTCTGCCTGCCCTGAGCCCATAGCTTGGCTGCTCCCCGCGAGCCTGCTTCAAGGTGGGGGTGGGTGGGCAGCTGGGGGTAAGGGTGCAGCTAGTGGTGCAGCACAGTGTGCTGCGTGCGTGGCGGAGCTGGGATGGCTGTGAATGAATTCCCTGAAAGCAGAAAATAAATATATATCTGTATACACACCCGCGTATGCCAGCTGCAGCACTGGCTTTGCACAACGGTGAGTCTTTCCACCAAATGTGCCTCGCTGTGTAGCACGGCGTGGCCAGGACTCATGTGTCCACCCATGCATCTGGTCCAAATTCACCCCATGTGCTCAGGACCATCAAGAAAAGCTCCTCAGGAGACAGATGCCACAATTAACAAAATAACCCATGACCTGTTGTTTGTGACAGCAAGGAAACTGGAGTGACCTTGTGGAAACCAGGTACTTTTCTTTGGATATAAGACACTGAAGTGGGCGAATGAGTAGTGAGGAGGATGGAGCTAGTAGTAGAAAACACAGCTGGGCGTTCATGTGACATGGGCAGATACTGAGATGGTGAGGTGGGAAACCGAGGTCTTCCCTAAAAGGAAACTAGCGATACAATTTTATTCTTGCGCTGGTATAACCCTATGGGTGGATGTTCATATGCTGGCATAAGAACATGCCACTGTGATTAAAAGATAACTTATCAGTGGTGTGGGTTTTTTTCCCATGTAGAAGATTCTTGTGTCAGGTAGTGCGATTGATATAGAAAAGAGGCTGAGGTTTAAAAATTAGGAAGATTTGTAAGGTTGATACTGAGAGGATGGGAAAGCTGGGGTCAGAGTATAGTGAGAGAGTAACAGGGATTTAGGAGTAAGGATTAAATGTTTTTTCTGAATTGCTTATTTTGTGTGGTATTTTTGAGTCTGCTATGCATGATTTTCCCCTCTCTTAATTAGTTCAAGTAATCTTCTGAAAATTGCAGATTGGTTCTGTAGCTGTGCTTTGGGGACAAAGTGGGGTTTTGGGGAGAGAAGCCAAAATAAAATTGCTGAGGAACCAGTAGCCTTGTGGTTTTGTGCCTCAAGTCCACATGTGAGATCCCTTGTAAATGGCTGCACTAAACGGTATGCTGTAGCTGTAATAGCTAATCCTCCAGCTCCCTGCAATGTCTCTTGACAGCACTTAAAATGCTATTCTGTAGGTTACTGTGGTTGCTATGCTGATTTAAACAGATTTAATGAACAGCTTTGAAGTCACTATTGAAAGCCTGTATTTAGGGAGGAGGCTTGCCGTGTAGCAGTGTGACTGTTAACACTGCAGATTAGAATTGAAATGTGTTCAAATTTGGAATACTTATTGAATACTGGAAAGGGAAAAAAAGCCACTGAAGTCCTTTAAATGAAAAGACTGTACTTTAGCATTCAGTATTCTGCAAACCGTCTTTATAAATGTACTTGCAAATGTTTATCATACTCTTGTGGGAAGCAGTGTGCAGTTTGAAATCGGAAATAACTCTTTCAAGCTCTCCTCTTTATTTTTCTTTATGAAGACTTTCTATGGTTTGTCTAGAAAGCCATTACTTTCCCATAAGCACCGTGATAAGACTGCCATTTACTTAGGAAAGACTGGGTTGTCATTAGATGTGAACACATTTCAGCGCTAGCACTAGATCTGGAAGAAAAAAATCTTGTAATGGAAGTGTCATTTTGTTGAACGTGACATTTGAGAGCATGAGGGATTTCTCTGGTGTTTTAGTACTGTAGAAGGCTGTGCTTTCATTGTTTGTTTTGAAGTAACTTCTCATAGCAGCTCATAATTTTACATTCTAACATTTAGTTTAATATTGAAAATTGAATGAATGTTTTAAGTTTCTGTTCATCAGAAGAATCAAAAATATATTTTGTGGAATGAAAGACTTCAAAGTGAAAACTTCCCTTAAGAAATAAAAGTGACTTACATAAAGACCTAGCAAAGGAGTCCACTAATTGCATCAACAGTTAATCACCAATGAGTGTATTGATGAACATAAAACATTTTGTGTGGTATTTTTCAACAGTTCTGTGATGCAAAGAACATGCAGTTCGAATAACTTTTGAAACAGGGGGCGGGGGCGAACACCAACTAATCCCATCTGTTCCCTCTTATTCTGCAAATCAGTTCTTCCAGCTCTGAAAGGTCAGTGGTACTCGATTACCAGGATGCGAGCTGATCCATTAAGCAGGGAGCTGGTGCTCTGGCAAAGATCCCTGTACAAATTGGGAAATATTAAATGTTTTAGGCTTTGAGTTTTGCTCTGCAGTTTGATTTTTATCCTTCTTTGACTTCTGTATTTGTTGCTTAAACTGCTGGAAAGTTTGTATTTTTCAAAATGGGGTGTCTGTTACTAAATGTAAAACTTGGATTTCAGTTGCTTTTTGGACTGTAAGGAAATCATATGTCTTTTCGACATTTTTTTAGTATTACATTACGTTTTCTCCAGTATCCTAAGAGCTCTTCTTATTTTCCTCCAGGAGACAGATGAACAGAAACGTCACAAAATTGCCAGTGAACTTCTGCAAACAGAAAAAGCCTACGTTAGCCGACTTGACCTCCTAGATGGGGTACATTTTTTCTTGAATTTGTTTTTATTGTCTTGCCCTGAACTCACTTGAATGGCTATGCATAAATGTTTATATAAATTACATAAGAGGTAGTGTGTTTTTCACATTTTGCTGACTTTTCCAGTCAGTCATTTGCTTTTGCCACATAACTTTGCCTGTGTTTCTATTTAAAGAATGCTACATTTTTAAAAATATTAGAATTTTGTGGATATTAATGCAATATGTTCTGTGCGCATAGATGTCACCATAAGCAATAGCAGTGCATACTGGTAGCCCTTCCAACAAAGAGGGTGTATAACAATTTCTTGGCTTCTGGTGAAATGGAGAAGGGTATTGTTTTATAACACTGAAATTGCCAACCCACTAGAAAATTACTAAATCTTTCAAATTTGAGCCACCTCATCAGAATTTTTCTTTAGTGCCAAAGAACCTAGGAAGATGCCCATTCTAAACTGTATATCCTCTATTTTACCACTATACGTTTAGACTAAATCCTATTGAAGTGAACAGAAATTACTCTCCTTGCAATGAAAGGACTGAATTCTTGTGCTCTGTAGAATCAAACTGATATATATTTCTTAAATGTGAAAGTCTGTAGTTCTTGAGTATTTTCCGTTTTCATTTGTGTTTACTTTCTCACATAACACTTATATCCATTTTACCTGGATATCTATAGCTTTGCATTGCCTTAGTCCATGATATTTTTCTCAGACATCGCTGTTGAAATTTCTCAGGTCTAATGCGTACGTCTTCTAAAAACAGTTGATGAAAAGTAAAGTCTCAACTGATAACAATAATTGTTCAGGCAACTTGGGGATCTAAGTAATTGTCCTCATGAAAGTGGATTTACCTAGTAGACCCACATTGGGATGGATATATGGTGTGTTTTGAAAGACAAAATAATGCAGAAAAAAGAGCTTTGGTTTAGAGAAGTTTAAAAATAAAAAAGGAAAATGTTTACTTCATTCATAGTTTTTTCTGATGGGTAATGTACAATTATTTTCCTTGATGTGATCCTAAGTGCATTACTCCTATGCCTGTTTTCCAAATATTAACTGGACAGAGTTCTGAAAAATTAGTTTCAAGCACAGCTGCTCAACTGCAGCTAATGAGAGGAAAGCGGAAGATGGGGAAGCAACTGTTATGTTTCTAAACTTGGTTAAGAAGTTATGTAACCATTATAGTCTTTGAAGTAACTTGTCAAAATTAACTAGCTGTTCTCTCCAAGATGCAGCAAAGTGAGCATGTTTTAAAGTACATGTGAAAGTGTATGCCTTTTTTCCTTTTAAGACGCTTTTGCTGTCTCAGTTGGGATTATCAAAGTTCCTGTCTTCAGACTTTTTTCTTCTTTCCCGAGTGCTTACCCAAACTTCTGAAGCCCTTTCTAGGGAGATGCAGTCTGGTCAAGCAGGGGAGAGGGAGATAAAGGGACCATAGCTCCCCACAAGCACTGTCTTATGTGGTGTGCACGTTAACAGCTGCACATGTCTCTAGCCATTTTGTAGCTCCATCTAGTCAGGTAAAGCCTGCTGATGGGGAAAGAGTATTTTTTTTAAAGAGCCTATAGTAGAGTCCAGTCAGAACTGGGCCCCTTGTGTGTTTTAAATGGTATGTGGGGGCCGCTCATAGTCTGCCAGCTACTTTGATTTCAAAAGGATAAGGGGATACAGCATAAAAGGAGAGTGGTTGGGCTAATGGTGATCAGACATCATGCTAACTGAAAAGAAAGCAAGAGTGGAAAATACGGCTGGAAGACTGGGAAAGCTGAGATGACCTAGCTGTTAAAACAGTCAAGGTACCTGGAGTCAATTCAAAATGGCACTACTTCAGTTTGGCTTTCCTTACGTCTGCTCTGCCTGCAGTGCTTTCCTGGCTCACAAGAAAAAAAGTGGGGTGTAAGGGGAGGAGAAGCTTTTAACTTCTGGTGAGGGAAAGACAATAAATGAGTTTGTCATTACCTGTCTATTTTACTAAATATGAATCTTGCCTCGGTTGGAGGGGTTGATAGGTGGTCTTCCATTGATTAAAGATAATGGGCTGATAGGTTTGGGCTCTTTTTCTGTATTGCAGGTATTCTATTCCAGACTCCTTGAGGAAGCCAACAGAGGTTCATTTCCAGCTGAAGTGATTAACAAAATCTTTTCTAACATCTCATCAATAAATGCTTTCCACAGTAAATTCTTGCTTCCAGAACTTGAGAAAAGAATGCAAGAATGGTAAGAGGTGATTCACTGGCTAAAATACTACTAATACTGCGTCTGTAGAAACTCTGTCAGAGGGTTGAGGTAGGGGAGGTACCTTCATAATTAAGTGCTCCCAGCCCAGGAAGTAGTGTGGGTAGGAGAACATCTGCTCTTCCACTCTTCATCAGGATCTGACTCAGTAGAGGACTTGCATCATTTGCTCAAAATAAAGGACATATATCTTGCTGAAGCCAGTGAGATTACTCATGATGAGATGCCTTGCTGAATTAGAGGTTCAGACTGAAATTGCGATACCTGGTGAATTCATTGCACTATTATTCTGTTAAAATCGAATAGTTCCCATGCACAAACATCTGGTAGCCCTGTATAGTCTGTAATGCAAGAAAGTACATAGAACCTAAGCATCATGGAATGTAGCAAAGTTTACACCTTAAATTATGTTCCTTGCAAAATGACCATGTAAGGTAAATCCACCCTTTTCTTCTGATTAATTGAAAAAAAAATCTGGTAGGAAATATGAATGCCTGGATTAAAATAGAGTGCATATTCATGAAAGGTGGAGTTTAACTTAGTCTAACGTTGTTTAAAAAGCAGTTTACGCTACATTACATCAGTGCTGTATATATTTGAAATTAAATTTGTGATGTACTCTTAAAATTTTGCTCTAGACAGTTTACAGAGCACAGAGGATGGGTTGCATTACCTTATGTATTTGCAAAATGCTAAATTACACACTCATAATGTGTGTATAATTATATAGCTTCAAAGGTTGAAAAGTGCTTTTGCAGATGAACTTTGTTAGTGCAAAACTAATAAATTGCATCGTAAGGATATTATCTTTCCCACATTGCTTGGAAACAACCTCTGTGCTGTACCTGAGACAGCTTGTTTAAATTTCCTTATAACATTATGCTTTTGGAAGGAGTTAGAAGAAGGGGTGCAGTTGAAGAGAACAATTTCTGATCACTGCTGAAAGAAAAATCTGGGATAATTTTCTGTCTCTATCACCAGTGTTCGAAAAAACAGCTTCTGCCAGATAGAAAGTTCACTTTCCTCAGCAGTTCCCTCAAGTGGACATAGAAAATACTTAAGTATGTTCTATTGGTAGGTTTATGTAGTTCTTCTGTTGTTCTTTAGTTTCTAATAAAGATAGCTGGATAAAAATTGCTGACGCTTTCCCCGGGTTGTGGTTTGTTTTGAAGACTTAAGGTAAAAATATATAGCTTTTGAAACTGGGAAAGCAGATCAGAAGCAGATTCTTCTTTTTTAGCAGAAAATGCAATGCGAATCTAAGCTTATCTGGTGGAAATGAAATTGTCTGGCAGTTGCATTTTGAATGACTTGAGCAACAGCTGGAGCTGAATATCTCTTTTACAACATATGGCTTGAAAACACCGGAAACAGCCTTGTTGCAATATATTTCCCATGAAAAGAGCATAACAGTGATCCCACATCAAATAAAATACCCATCTAACTATGTCTTTTGTACCCAAAGATGACCAAGAGCAGATACCTGGGGAAGACTATTAAGAACACAGTGTGATAGGCTCGGGGTGGGGAGTGGTGGTGAAGAAATTATTTCAGTCTTTCAACACAAAGTTTTGGAATGTGTGGCAATTACAGAGCTGACCTACTCATATGATTTGTTTTTCTTTGAAACTGAAACTTTCAGTTTTGTTGGATGCCTGTTAGCTTGTGTATTGGAAGAGAAAGCAGTTGTTCTGTAGTCGCCTTTGCTGTGCTGTGATTTTTATAGACCTTTGCTTACTCTTGTTGCAGCCATGATAGTTTTAAATGAGATACTACAAATCGTGATTAGTAAGTCAGTGATTTCATGTTTGAGCTTTTAGAATGCAAAGGTGAATACTGTTGTAGTCTGATAACACAGAAATACAGAGTGTTTCTGGACCTGCGTTACAATGTGAAGTCCTATTTCTTGACCATATAATGATGCTATCTGTGTTGTCTGGCAATAGTGCAGTGCTGATTTGGGTCCATGGTAATAGTTCTCTTTCTGATCTCTCTATCCGAGAGAACAGGAACTGTCCTGGACCCGACAGCATTTAATAGAACTTCATATTTTGGCTCATGGTGCATAGTGTTTGAGCAAGATGAACTAGTTACTTGTTAGTCCCTCAAGGGAGGATGCTGCTCTCAGAAGGTTCTGCTTTCTTCAACTTTCCCTGTCCTTCCTATTCTTTCAGAGCTCTTTGTGTGACATGGATCTTGTCTTTCTTACCTGAAATGATGACGAATTTGTGTTGTTACAGCCTCAGTCTTTGGACATAAAAAGGCCTTGCATGAAAAGTAGTTGTGAAATTTTTTTTTATCTTCAGAGACAGTGAAATTGCAGCACTCTGTGTAAATGAGGTGCTGTAGGTATCCAAGGAGCAGGCATAGCAAACTGTTCGTACCTCTTTGTTTATAAAAGTTTTAACGTTTTCTTTTAATGTCTGTCTAGTAATGGTTCTGAAACAGTTAAGTAGAAGTATTCTCTTTTTGTGCCAGTTTCTTTAGATACAAAGGATTGCCACAGTCTCTTCTGCTTTAACTTTTTTTTTTAATTGCAAAGTTTTATAATTACTTATCTGTTAAATTTATCAGAAAACTTCAATGTCTTTGTGTTTTTTCTGGTGACCTTTAGGAATGTGTTCATAATTTCTTCGGTTCTGTTGGAATTGGCATGATTTGTATTTTATTTTCAGTTTAAAAGTATGCTGCATTGCAATAAAATGACAACCCAAGGAAATAGCATTCAGTGAATCAAAGGAGAGGGTTTTTGTTTTAAATTGTTATCTTGCCTTTGAAAGTGTATGTGTCTGCTTGCATATGTAGAGTGGTTGAACAAATACGTGCAGCTAATTAAGGGTGGAGAACCTCCCACTCTGTCTTGTCCCCTTCTCTAGTTGCCAGGCCCAGCAGTAGCTCAGACCTCTGCCAGGTCTTACACGAGTACCCTCTGCTCCCCCGGAGGCAGCTGGAGCTGGACCAGCCCTTGCCAGTCCTGGCAATATTCACTATTCAAACAACTTTTCCCTTCTGCACAGCTTTTCTCTTGGAGAAGTGGTGTGTTGCAGTAGACTGCTAAAGTAATAGCAGTAGATTGCTTCACTTTAGACCAGTACCACAACACTGATTTCAGACTTTCAGAAATCCAGAGATACTGATACAGTTGCTGAGTCTGTCCTTGAAAACAAAATGTGAAACGTGTTTCATATTGTAGTTCTCGGAGATGCATGTGTGCCGTTCCGCTTTCTTTGTGTGCGTCGAGAGTGCAGCTTCTCTCCGCCTCTCCATCAGTTTCTTTACTACTCTGTTTTATTTGAAGATGCTATCAGTATGAAAGATGTAGGAAAGGTCTCACAAAAGAGTGGAACCCAAGGGTTTCTCTCTACTTCATAGGTTTTCTTAGATAAATAATGATTTTTAAAAGTTGTAAATACATGTATTTATATAAGGCACAGAAGGGAAGCTGTACAGTATGGATTTAGTCCTCAAACAAAACCACAGGTTAGATATTTAGAGGGTAAAGTATGGCCAGAAGAAGATAATGTAGTTTTAAGGAACTGCAAATAAAATAAATTAGGCCATGTTTTGTAAACAAAACCTTTCAAGTTTTTCATTATAGATAGCTTTTCTTTCTTTAGTGCTCTACATGACCTATAATGCTTATACATCATCAGAGAGGATACAAACACTCTTTCTATGTTAATTCTGGTCAATTTTAATTGTTACGTTGGAACTCTATATGAGGTGATCCCTAACAGAAGGATTCTCTATTAAACTTTTGAAACCATTTTATAACCTTGTGTGACTTTTTTTCTTTCCTGTTTGCTCTGAGATTCCGCCCTCTTACTTTGCAGGACTACCACCCCCAGAATTGGAGATATTCTGCAAAAGTTAGCTCCTTTCCTCAAGATGTATGGAGAGTATGTGAAGAATTTTGATAATGCAATGGAATTGGTGAAAACGTGGACTGAACGGTCACCTCAATTCAAATTCATTATTCAGGACATTCAGGTAATGGGGAGCTCTCCAAGTAATACAAGCATGTATAAAAATATGTAGGTTTGTGGGTGAAAAAGATTAAAGAGAAAATTAAATACCAAATCCCTTAGAATTAAGGGTTGTTGGGTTTGTCCACTTCACACTGCATTGTGTTTCTACTCTTTCTTCCTCCATATGTGCACAAATACCCACACAAATCCAGCCTTTCCACTGCAAAATAGAGGACCAAAGTATAAAGGTTGAAACAGGAGAAGACTAAAAAAATACATTTTGTTGTAGATACCAAAAGTGAATACAGTTTTAGGATAAAGTGACCTATCAGTGCAACTGTAGATCCTTGCACTGAAGCCAAAAGTACTCTGTTGGCTCACACCAAGTGCTGTTATGCAGAGCACTACGCTTTGGAAGTAAGTATATAATCCTAAATGCTGAGCCACAAAAGGTGAAGAAAGCTTAACAGCTAAGCAATGTACAAGTCTTTTCCAAGGTGCGTTTTATACCCTCTAGTGCTCCCTGTAGGTTTCTCTGTGAATTGGCAGGTATGGGTCTTCCTGCTGCAGACTGAGCAGCTAGAAACAGGATTAGGTATTTCTGCTTAAATTTTACCCCTAAAATCTGTAGGGTCTTGTGATTCTAAGCCAGAGAAGACAACTATGTGTATTTTAATGTAATCTTTTACTTGCATCTAAGATTATGGAAATGAATATGCATCTTAAAACACTTCTGAGGGGGGTCACACACAAGAAAGCAACCCCTTCTCAGATGGATAAATGTGCTATAAAGGTATATTTTAAGAATTATTTTCTAATACGTGGTCATGAACTGTTCTTACTAATTCAGTTGTAATTCTTCTTTCTGAGTTATTCCAAAACTAAGTTAAAATACACTGGACTTTGGGAGGGTTTTTTGGTAGGACTTTTATTTGTGAATTCTACTGGATACTTAGAAAACTCTTTTTACAATTATTTTTAGGGAAGATTTTCTAATTATTTGGTTCAGTAAAGTAGTTCGATTTTCTTTCAGAAGGTCTATCATGCATGTTTCAAAATACATTATTTATCTTTTATCAATCGTAACTTTTATTTTACTATATCCTAATAACATTTTTGCCTACTACATTGAAATATGTTTACAATTTTTTAGAAGGAAAAAGTGTGTGGAAATTTGACATTGCAACATCACATGCTAGAACCAGTACAACGGATTCCACGCTACGAGATGCTTCTAAAGGACTACCTAAGGAAATTGCCTCAGGATTCTCTAGACTGGAAAGATGCTGAAAGTAAATATCTTCTAGCCATTAAAAGAGCTGTAATAAGATATTAGTAAGAGGATACTGTAAATTAAAGCTATTTTCAGGAAAAATAAAGTGAGAAAGCAAAGTCCCTCTGAAAAGAATGATAGAATTTCTTCAGTGTAGTTGTAGGATTCTTTGAAAAAAAATCTGATTGAATACTGGATGAAGTTAATATAAAACCTATAAAGCCTTTAGTATTCTGCTCCTGGAACACATAAGTTTTGCTTTAGTGTTTGCACACAGGTTTTGAGTTCTTTGCTTTGTGGATGAACAGGGGTTGTGGTTTTTCTGTGTTTTTTTGGATTTGTTGGCATTTTGGTTTGCTTTATGCACATTTGGAATCTATGTCTCTTGTTAAAAAAAGTGGAATTAGACTCATTATTGTATTTTTAAGCTCCTGTACGGGAAAAAGAACAGCCCATTTTTAAATTTATTCTTCTCTGTATTTACACAAGAACAGTTCAAGATATTTCCATGGATTGTTCAAAATTACTTGCCAGATATTTTTTTGCAAATATTTCGTTGTGAGTACTATTACTGCAAATATTTGTAATATGAGTTGTTTCAACTGAAAAATATAGTTTCACATTCTGGACCACTTTGAGAAAAGAGGGGAGAGAACCATGACTGTTCATGTCACAAAAAATGTGATTCTAAGTGCTGAAGCTCTAAAGTAATCTGCAATAATTCTCTTCTGATCTTTCCAGATCATAATTTCTATTTTGTAGCTGACTTTCTTATGCTTTCCACTTTACTTTGGTTACTTTTTATTGATAGTTTAAGAAATTTATTGTAGTGTGTAATTTACCTAAAAATTACAGTTTTGTAGAATGATCCATTTTTTGTTCTGTGTAACATATAAATATGTAAAAATGCAGCTTTTTTGTTTTACTTTTTTCTTTTTCTTCTGTCTAGAGTCCCTGGAAATTATATCCACTGCAGCAAGTCACTCAAATAGTGCAATAAGAAAAATGGTAAATGATCCTTGTTTTCCTGTTCACTTTTTAATGTATTTGAGTATTTGGTGAAGCTAGGAGTGTGAATTGCAAATCTTCCCTAAAATGGCAAAAATGGGTTTCCTGGGTCCAAGTGATTGCTCCTGCTTAATGTATTTATACAGCTCCAGGAATGATAGAGAAAATCCGGCATTGCACTTAATTCTCTCGAGTGGAAAATGGGACAGACTGGGTTCCTCTCCTGGCTCAAGTAGCTGATACTGCGCTGGACTCTTAACCTTGTTTCATCTGTTTCTGTCAGTGGGAAGGATAATGTTTGTAAAGAGTATTTACTGTTTCTCTACCGTATTGGGCTGGCATGATAGATACTTCATGAAGTATGTGAGATATTTTAGTTTAGTGGGCATGGTGGTGTTGGGTTGATAGTTGGACTCGGTTGGACTTGATGACCTTAAAGGTCTTTTCCAACCTAAACGATTCTATGATTCTATTTTGGAGAAGAAATAATGCAGGCCGCATGTATAACTGCATTTGTAAAATTACAAAGGAGATAACATTTCTAAAACTACTTGTTAGTGTATCAACCAAATTAATCAATCTGTATGGCTGACCATACATACCAGGTGTAGACATGTTTTTCACAGCTAACATTCTCCAGACTTATGCAAACTCCCATCATTTCATTTAAACATGCTTAAAGATCTGTGCTTTTAATTAATAAGTTTTATAACTGTATTTTCACTGTGAAGGAGAATCTAAAGAAATTGTTAGAGATATATGAGATGCTGGGAGAAGAGGAAGACATTGTGAACCCTTCAAATGAACTGATAAAAGAAGGACAGATCCTTAAACTCGCTGCTCGCAATACGTCTGCTCAAGAACGGTATCTTTTCCTAGTAAGTATGGTAGCCTGTGTTTGCAGGACAGGAGTGGCTGTATACCTTTCTGGACTTGAAAGAACTACCAAAGAGAGAGAGAAATCCTCTCTAGTTGATGTCACTGCCTTTCCACTAGTGATATTAGAGCATGAGTAAACCTTATACTGCTTACAGAAAGGCTTGAAAACACCATTTAGAACAGAATACGTGGTTTTAGATAAATGGAACCAGTGTCCAGCAACTCACATTTAAATAAGTGGCTGCTGATTATAAATGCAGGTCCTAGAGCACAAGAACTTTGACATTCTCATGAAACTGAAATGTAAAAGCTTAGGATTTTAGTCCTGACAGATTGTAAGCCTCATGGTCCTGTGGGAGCTTGTTATCGTCGCAGGTCATCCTCTTGTCAGGTGCCTGTGTCCTGTCTTGGAACTAACAAACTACAGCCACGCTCCCTTGTAACTCCCTTGGAAAAGGTTTGATGTAGTTCATTGCTTCCATGCATTAAAAATTGCTAATACATTTTTGCTTATGCGCCTCTGGCATTGCATATCTTCTGGTTCATAAAGACTAGTAATGGGTTGTTGAGGCACAACTCCTGCTTATCTGTGCTTCAAACAAAAGGAGAAATCATTGAATAGTAACACCTCAGATGGGGCTAGACAGCTGATTAAAATGATGTGCGCCTCATATGAGAGGTGACAAGTTCAAATGTGCTGCATCTGTGATACAGACTAGGCAATAGGTTAGACAGGATTTCTATGAACTAGGATTTAACTGAAGTGAGTTTCTCTTTTTAATAATTAATTTTGAGAAGAATGTGAGGGGCAAAATGTGAGAAAATTAAAACACTATAGATCTGATTTAATAACTGCTTCTAGGCTGGGGTGTTAGACATTTAAACATTATTTAAAGTTCTAATCTTTAATAAAGGAATATATCTTTGTCTAGCTCATGGGTTTTTTGGTTGTTTGTTTGTTTGTTTTTTTCCCCCTGTGATATCGAGGCTTTCAGTGAATAAAAACTCGAAGAATGTTCTTCTGTCTTGGAGAAAAGGCAAATTATGTCCTCAAATAATATTAGTTACAACGTCTACAAAACCAAATGGTTTTGGTACAGAGTAAATACAAATGTGTACACTGAAGAAAAGAGTTCTTATTCTGCACTTTAGAGTAGGTTTTGCAGAATTGGGACGTAAGAATGGGCTTTTCTAACAAAAGGTTTACAGTGGTATAAAATATCCAGTCTGAGTACAATTGATAATAAATGCTTTGAAGACTGCTGCATATACAGAGCAATTATTCTTATATCCACTGAAACTGTCCTTTAATCTTATTTCTAAACAAATAAGAAAAGACATTGTCTTGCATGAGAGCTTTGGTCTTCTTGTATATCAACTGAGGAGGAAAGAACCTGCTTTCTCACCCACTAAGTCTAGCTTTGCAATGTTTTCCAGCTCTCAGTAGAAACCGTGGCTGTATCTGTGTTTTTGTTAATACAAAGCCATGTGTTTATTTTTTCCCCCAGTTTAACAATATGTTGCTCTACTGCGTTCCCAAATTCAGCCTGGTAGGATCAAAGTTCTCAGTTCGAACCAGAGTCGGCATAGATGGTATGAAGATTATAGAAACTCATAATGAAGAATATCCACACACTTTTCAAGTGTCTGGAAAAGAGCGAACACTGGAGTTGCAGGCCAGGTAAGTAGCCTTTTTATCTAGTTTTTGGAGGATTAAACATGTACACACAAAAGATTGGACTAATAGATTTGGAGAAAGATGCAGTGGGCTTCATCTTAATATCAGTGTTTTGAAAATAGCCTAGGCTGCCAAAAATCATAAATTGTCAGTCCAAGAATCTCTTGGAGTAGAAGATGCATCTACAGTGTATAGTGAGTGCATTGCCTTACTTTGCAGAAATACCTAAGATAGCTACGAATGGGCTGGCTGGAAAATTGAAAGCAGCATACCTAACTGATGCAAAGGCAATCCATCCGACTTAAGTGTTTTGGGACACTGAGTGTGTTAATCTCTGGGCAGTGCTGCTGCCTCTGACAGCTGAGCCGCCTTGGTACAAATAAGCCTGTTCACCTCAGGGTGTGCCCACCCAGCAAAACTCTCCACCCTGGTGGGTTTATGTCCACAGAACATAGTTTTCTGCAGTGGTAGATGGGCACTTGCTTTCCTCCATTCCTCAGGCCTGTTTCCAGTCTACTTGTTTTCCTCTGGTCCCAGGTATCAAACTTACTCTGCTCCTGTTAGTTCTTGAGTCCTTTTCCTTCAATTGCACTCTTCTGACTAGCACTTTTCTGCTTTCCTTATTAGTCCTTGTATCCTCCTCTTGCTGGGTTACCTTCCCGTTGCTGCTTTTTGCATTGCCTAGACTAAGCCTTCCCCATGTAGACTGCCCCACTTCAAATACAGTGGGGTGCTCCACCTCTCCTTTTGGACCTGCTTTTGTTTTCTGGTTTGGTTTGGTTTGTTTATTTTAAGTTGGACAGTTAACAATTAGTATTGTTTAAATTTAAATTCCTGAGAATTACTTCAGAAGCTTGGCTTTTGCAAGAAGTTGTTGCTAGTGAGATAATGTTTCCTGAACTAGTTTTGGACTAATGTGTCAAATATTTCTTTTAGTTCTGAACAAGATAAAGAAGAATGGATAAAGGTAAATTCATCTACATTCTTTATTTTCTAAACACTTTTTCACTGAAGCAATCAAAAAAGTAATATTTTCTGGCTGTAGCTTCCCTCTGCTGAACAGTAACAGGTCAGAATGCAGAGAGTCCATTTGAAATGTAATATGTTTGAAGAATTTTTCCGTTGTTTCCTTAGGCCCTTCAGAATACTATAGAAGCTTTTCAGCAGAGGAATGAAACTTTCAGAAACGCTATTGCTAAAGAATATGAAGACATACCTGTTGAGGTTTCTGTAAGTTGCCATTATTCCTTCACAACCTTCTTAGTACCCATTTTGTTCTTCAATAACTGGAAAAAGTTTGGCAGAAACTTTGTTTTCAAGCTCATCATTCTTATAGCAGAGGAATTACAAAGTAGTCATTTTATTGGTAATTGTTTTTCTTTATAATGCCAAATCTTATAAACAAGCCTCTTTTTTTTCTTGAAATGCATAACAGAGTACCCTTTCAGTGATGCATAATGATTTTAACTGGGTTCTTTGTTATTTCTTGTATAGATTTCAAAATGCGTCTGGAGCTGTGTTTTGCCATTTCCTTTCTAGAGGAAGAGAATAATTATTTTCTCTATTTAAAGTATTGCACAACTTTTTATACGGGCTCTTTTTATTCACCCATCCTCCCCTTGCCCCCCTTCAGAACGCTGAGCTTGGAAAGAGAGCACCGAGGTGGATACGAGACAACGAAGTAACCATGTGCATGAAATGCAAGGAGCCCTTTAATGCGCTGACAAGGAGAAGGCACCACTGCCGAGCATGTGGACATGTAAGTGCGAAACCCTAGCTGCTGTAGCCGGTGAGCAGGCTTGCGAATGGGTCTAAGCACCTACTTCTGGTGGCTGCTTGTTATGCTGCGGAGTTTGTTGTTGTGCTTGTGGCTAGAAGCAGAAGCTGTGGATAGCATACCACAAAGGATCCTCTGTCTGCTTTACTTGTCATGGTAAATTTGGAAGTAATTTAGAGCAGAGGAAGATGCGTTTTTGTGTAAAAAGTCCCAAGCCCCTGGCCATACTACACTGTTACTCCTGAGTGGCCTCCACTGATCTCAAGTTTCAAGACCATGTTAAACTGGCGTAAGCCAGCGTTATCCCTGGCAGCACTGGCTGCCTCCTCCTCCCATTCTCCTGCCTTCTCTCTCTTCACTCGAAGACCACAAAGACCCGCAGTTAAAACTTTCCCAATGGATTGACTTGGAGCTGTTCCCAGCTGGGTTCAGCGCGTAACTGTCTGAACATGCGTGAAGCATCAGGGAAGGAGAGAAGGTTAGAAAGGGGAGAGAGTATTACTGCTGCTTTCCATGTATGGTGCTACGGTAACGTATTGTCGTGCTTTAACCCCAGCTGGCAACTAAGCCCTATGTAGCTGCTTGCTCGCTCCCCTCCGGTGGGATGGGGGAGAGAATCGGAAGGGTAAAAGTGAGAAAACTCGTGGGCTGAGATCAAGACAGTTTAACAGGTAAAGCAAAAGCCATGCATGCAATCAAAGCAAAACCAGAATCCATTCCCCACTTCCCATGGGCAGGCAGGTGTTCAGCCATCCCCAGGAAAGCCGGGCTCCATCATGGTTACTTGGGAAGACAAACGCCATCGCTCCGAACGTCCCCCCTTCCTTCTTCTTCCCCAGCTTTCTATGCTGAGCATGACGTCCTATGGTCTGGGATATCCCTCGGGTCAGTTGGGGTCAGCTGTCCCGGCTGTGTCCCCTCCCAACTCCTTGTGCCCCCCCAGCCTCCTCGCTGGTGGGGTGGGGTGAGGAGCAGAACAGCCCTTGGCTCTGGGTGAGCACTGCTCAGCAGGAGCGAAAACATCCCTGAATGACCAACACTGTTTCCAGCACAAATCCAAAACACAGCCCCATACTAGCTACTGGGAAGAAAATTCACCCTATCCCAGCCAAAACCAGCACACATATGCCTCTTTAAAATGACTATGATATATTGATATGATTTGAGAGTTTTCAGAAATTACTGGAAGATGAGCAAACATACTGTTCTTGCTTTTCTTGCCATCCAGCAGCTCTACCTTTCTCCAGCAGGTGGTAGTGCAAGCCCAGGTTTAATCTTTGTCTTACAGGTTCTCTTGTATGATTCCTTTATAATGTTTTTATGTGGTATGAAGGCTTACTGCATTCACAGTGCTACTTTTGTGCTTTGCAGGACTCCAGAGACTTTTTCAGAATCTCTGAATTACTGATTATACAGATGTCATCTGGGTTTTTTTTTCCAGATCATTCTGTTTTAACTCCTCTGTTAATCTTAAGATCACAGCCTTCCTTCTTATTCCACGTTTTGTTTAGTCTTCTAACTACTTCCTTCTATTGTAGTTCCACCACATCTCCTTGCACTTTAATTTTTAATTCTAAAACATTTTAAAATGAGAATTTATTTGGGTCAGTGATGGTGTCTTTCCAGCAGTGACTAATTGGGAATACTTAACTAGTATTCTCTAGAGATACTAGTTGAAGGTAGTGATCTAGATTAGTACTGCAGAGCCCTGGACCACAATATAATTTTGTTCAGGTGTTTTAGTGGTTCAATTCCATTTGTGTACCTTTCTTTCTTGAGATAACTACATTCTTTTTTTTTTTATGCAGGGCATGTTTTTCACCTGAAAGAGTAGTTCTGTGGAAAAACATTTTTAATGAAAGAACTTCTCTCAGATCTCTCTTGCATTTGAGTTAGAGAGAGAGAGAGAAGAAAAATTAGTGTGATATTGGTTTATTTATTCTGTGTATTTATGAACAGATTCTAAAACTGTAAATTTAATATCTATTAGCAGGTTAAAAAATTAGCCATTTCTGATTTTATTAAGTTTTTTTTATCATTAAAAGTGCATCTCAGTTGTACATTTCTGAGGTTATGTAGAAAACAAAATGGTAAATGTACCTTTTCAAGTTGGCATCCAAAGAAACCAGAGGATTTTCTTCCTGCAGCACGGCTTGTGCTATATTCTGATTCTATTCCTAACTTTAACCTACAGATAAAATTGAAAGCCTAATGTGATTTTGTGCAAAGTACAAAGTTCCACCAGGTAAATAATAAAAAGCACTTCTAGTTAAGCAGCAGTGGCACAAATTTGGAAAATCATTTTCAATTAAGTTGTTGCTGACATGTCATAAAGGCATTATCTTTCTTGTTCTGTATAATCAAACAATATATTACTTAGTAGGTAAAATAATACTAATTTTTAATCCAATTCTGTTTCTGTAAAGTTTTATCAATACTTACATTTTATATGTATGTTATCTTTTTTGTTTCTAAGGTGGTTTGCTGGAAATGTTCTGATTACAAGGCACATCTCGAATATGATGGCAATAAATTGAACAAAGTCTGTAAGGACTGCTATCATGTTATAATTGGTTGTACAGACAGTGAAGAAAAGAAGAAGAAAGGCATCTTGGAGGTATGTAATTTAAAAATACTATATGTGCATAGTTGGAAACAGTTTTGGCTAATCAGCAGGTGAAAAATGGCAGCATTCTTGCAGGGCTGTTTTCTGTTTGAGAAATAAAGTGTGTGGACCAAATTCATCCCATCCACTAGATTTTAGTTTTTACCATTCATCTTTCACGATACTGTTTTGTTTCTTAGAACTTTTTTTTAAAGGGGGAATTTTGAACCTTAGAGCTTGTTTGCTTCATTCCAGTTACATCAGTGAATGTGATAAAACGTTAGCTTTCCATATAAATCTTCAGTTTTCTTCTTCTGCACTTAAGCTGTCATAGCAACAAACCCCACTGCTGCTACAATGATACTTGAAAACATACACCCAAACTGAAAGAACTGGGGATGGAGGAGAGGGCAATGGGGGAGAATTTTGCTATTCAGAGTCTGAATAGTAAGATACTGTTTTGATCAGTATATACAATGTACCTTTAAATCAAGTTGCTCTCAGCTTTTGACATATAAAAATTCAAGGTCTCAGTCAGACAATAAGGAACCATGTTTGTCTTGTGATTGGGGGAGAAATAGGCATCTTAGAATTGCAGTTAACCACATTTCTTAAATCCCCCTTTATAGGCCCTTTTAAAACACATGACATACATTAGAGAAATATCATCCTAACTTTGTCAAGACATGTATTTATCTTGGGATGTAGTAGAGAAGGATTGACCCTTAAGCTAAATACCAACAGAAGAAGAAGGCAAAAATAAGATACAGATTGTAATTCCATATACAGTTCTTAATCCATGTCAGCTTGACTACACTCTTAAATGAGAAAGAGTAAGGCGCACAGAACTCCACTAGCTTACCTTATAGTCAAGAGGCTGCTGTTTCTTGGCATGATGGCTTTTTTAAGGTAGCTGAAGAAGCTATAGAGTCTCTTAGAAACACCTGTCTGCATGCCAGATCTCATGACAACGGAGTGGTTGGTACCATGTTGCAGCATACAGACAGCATCACTACTGGAAGAGGAAAAAAATTGATGCAAGCCAATTTTAACATATAATCATTTTCTGTTCTTTCTGATCTTCTCAGGATCACTATTTAATATGAGTAGCATGTCACTCTCTCTTCAGATTTTAAGTAATTCACCTTATCTTTTTCTCTGGGATTAGTGCTTGCATTCTTGTTATTCTTAGAAATGCGTTTGCATCTGATCCTGTCATAATATTTTGACTGCCGAAATAGAGTAGTTGTCATATTGGATAGTTAGTAGCACTTCAATGCCTAACATGATGTTATTTTAGAAATCAGACATTGTTGTAGATACTACGATACCGAGAAAGGCTAGCTGTTGCGGCAACATGAAATTTAGAGTGATCTAGAAGTGTAAAATCAAAAACTATTGATGAAAGAAGGAATAGATTACACATGTTAAGGGAGTACATGCTGTGATTGTATGTATATAATATAAAAATATTCTCCATAAATCCAGTCCTTCGTGATCTTATTTGGGTATTTGCTCAAGCTCTTTTGCAGATGCTATCCAAGATTTGATATGAATGGTGATGAATTTCTGCTTTGCTGTTCTGTATGTTATTAGTCTCTATTTAAGGAAAGTTTATTTTCGTTTTTATGCTTTATACTATCTTCTAGATTGAATCTGCGGAAGTCTCTGGAAATAGTGTCATATGTAGCTTTCTTCAGTACATGGAAAAATCAAAGCCCTGGCAGAAAGCGTGGTGTGTTATACCTAAACAGGAAGCTCTTGTGCTGTACATGTATGGTGCTCCCCAGGTATGTACAGAGGAAATGGAAAAGATTCTTGTAATTATTGTCACTGACATCTGAGGAAAAGAAGTCAAATAGCTTGGGAATGGAGGAAAGACCCAGGTGTTTTCACCAACCTGTGTAGTAAACGAGAGGTAGCAGGCAAATTAGTTGGCTGTTCTTAATCAAGAACTTCTCCTTCTTCTTAGGATGTTAAAGCTCTGGCTACAATTCCACTTCTGGGCTATACAGTAGATGACACTCCAAGAAGTGCTGACCTCCCGCACAGCTTCAAACTGACCCAGTCTAAGTCTGTGCACAGCTTTGCTGCAGACAATGAGGAACTAAAACAGAAATGGCTAAAAGTTATCCATTTAGCTGTCAAAGGTGAGACACCAGAATGTCAAAATGAACTGCAAGTGAATTTAGAAGAGCAACCTGAATCTTCTAAAACATCTGAATGCTGAAGCTCAAGAACATATGGTATTTTTAAAAGATTTCAATTGAATTTGTGGTTAACCTTTGCGTTAACCTTTCTTTGCTCAATCAAGAAAAAAAAAGAAAAAAATTTAAAAAGAAACTTCTTACTACCGTACACATCTTAGCACTTTATGTTTGGGAAAAATTCTGGTCTTTTTAGGGATCTTTTTCTTATATTTATGTTCTGCCAATAAAAGTGATGTACAGGTCCATTTCAGAGAATTTTTTAAAAAATGTGAATGCTATTAAAGATACTTACTAACTTTACTGTACTACTTGTTTGTCATGATGCAAATTTTTTTGAAAATCCAGTTGCTCTTTGGTTAACATTTGCTACTTTCATTAAGAATGCAAATATTGAAGCTTCCTACTTACATGTTAGGACTCGCAACAGGATAAAAGATATACCTCCACATTGCCAAAATAGATCTGTAGTTAAATATGCAGGGACAGTTTGGTTTAATGTATGTAGTTTATAGATTGAATTCCACAGATCTGTACATACGTTGTATTCACTTGTCTCTTTTTAATTAATGCAAATTGCTTTCACAGGTATATTGGCTTTTAAAGTTTCAATTTATCAAGGAAACAATCTAATAATTTTCAATCTAGAAATGAATACCTAAAATATGAGAAAATATATATTATATGTACAGTATTAAAAATGTACAATACTTGATTTTTGCTTTGATTTCATGATACTGGGTTCCTATTAGTGGATAATTTATTTAAAAAGCATGTTTTCTATTTGAAATTAAACAGTCCTAAATTAACAAATACTGTTCAGTGATTTGTTTTAATAGCTGACATTTAATGATCTTGATATTTTTATGCATTAAAAAAATAGCAGTAATGTAAGTGGCATGCAATGGACAAATAAGTTCCAGTTGTGTTTAAAAGAGTAGTCACGTTTCTTCAGTGTCCTATCACTGTTATCTTTTAAGAGTGCAGTAGTTCGTTACTCAAATGCAGTATGTGGTTTGAGAAAACCAACAGATTCTAGTAACCTATTTGCTGTTATGGTTATTGGAACAAAAGAACATTTTGAACTTAAATCTTTTAATTTTTGCAGAAGATTAGATACTGTAATACTTATTTATGAAACAATCTTCAAGGATTATTGTTGTGAAGTGGAGCCTGCTTTGAGTATGAGGTCTGAGCCTGCAAATCTCAAGTGGCATTAACTGACATTATTTGCATTCAGCTTATGGGAATAAAGACTTGTTGGCCTTACAGTATTAAGTCCCTTATGAACTTCCATTCCTATTAGGGTTTTTATACATAGAGGCAAATGACCTCCCTAAAATTTTTCCAGTAACATCCTTGGATGAAATGACAAATTCAGCGGTAATGATTGACTATCAAGTAGACAATTAAAATCATTGCTATCTTTCCTTCTCTGACCCCTCAAAGGAAGGAAAATGTGTAGCTTCTACAATCAACTTGGCATAAGAACATTCAGGAGTCTTACTGCTCAATATAGCTGCAATCTATTTTAAATCATGTCAAGCTGAAGAGCTCAGGTTCAAGTCCAGTTTTGTTAGTGGCAGGAGGGCAGAGTTAAATTGTTGCTTTTTTTATAATGAGCTTTCCAAACAAAATATTCACTGAACTCCCACTCCCACTTTACTCTTTCTGTGACACTATAGGGGAGAAACAAAAACAAACCTCATTTAACATTTAACAAGGGATTGTTAAAGTAACCTCTTTTTTTAGTGTCAGGCATACATGAGTACGTAGTGTCTATCGTTCTTTGGTAAGAAGAATGTCATGCAACTTAATGTTAGTGGGCTGGATTTTGCTCTCACCTCCACAGATCCAAAATCTACCATGGCCTTCAGACTTCTAAGCTTTACACTAGTGTTAGTAAATATCAGGACGTGGCATTGTAGAGTACTAACTCTACAACTGACTTTGTGCATGTCAGTTCTCAGTTCTTTCTCAGGTGCTCCATGTGTCCAGATTATTCTGCATGTAACCCTAGTATTACTTTTATCTGATGTGCAAGCTTTTCTGTAATTTTATAAGAGATTTTAAGTTACTTCTACTGTCAGCTGTATTTACCTTTAGTTATGGGCAGCTCAAGCCCATTTTGAGTACCATCAAATCTTTGCCAAGGTCTCTCTAGCTAGTACGTGTTGTCTTGTGTATACCTTGGCGAGGGATGAGGGAACATTCAGGTAAGCAAGAAGAACTCTCCATGGCTAACTTTCTTTCATGGTCATCTCCTGAAAGTGGGTATCTTCTAAAAAAGTCTCAGTTGCAATTGTGGTATCTGGAGAGTCATCTTACTGCACCCCAATGTATAAAAACATGCTCAAGTTGTTGAGTGTAAGGGGAGAAGTTGCCTTAAAGGAGTTCCCAGATAAGACGGACTGAGCTGTACTGAAAATAATATGATGGTGTGACTGTATTCATGTAGTACGTTCTATTTTCTAAGCTCCTGCAAACTTAATTCTGAGCCAAGTAGGAAGACCTATTCCAGCTAAATGATTAGGGAAATGATGAGAAGCAGCAATTTCTGGGCTGCCTTGTTGTTATAGTGGTACTGAGTAGCTGAAGCTGCTTGAATGGTTTCAGTATCTCCCAGATGCAGCCCTGCATTTGGGCATAAACAATTTGAAACAAAGTTAGCATTGGGAGTTATTTATTTGGATGTTAGCCTCGTGTTTGCTCTCAGCCATTAAAGTTTTTATAGCATGGGATATTTTATTGACCCTAATGAAACCTATTTCATGTTCTCAGAATCAATTGCCTGGTCAGAATTGTTCTCTTCTGAGTCAGAATGTCTTGGCACTCAAATGTATGGTTCTGTGTGTATTTTGTAGGAAAAGTATGTACCACCAATATTAAAGGAGATCAGAAGATGGAGAAGTTGCTTCTAGATTTAACCACCCTAACTGTTTTACTCCATTCTCCACAGACAAGCCCTCCTATAGCATCCAAAACTTTAAATTGTAAATTATGACTGCAGAGGAACAAACTCAAAATAGTAACTGCTGTGGCTTAAGTATCATGATGAAAGCAGTCAAATTTAAACCATCATTCTAACAAGGTATAGGGTGTTCCCACTTCAGCTGTTAAATTCTTTTTAAAAAAAAAAAAAGGCATTACATTTATTAGCACAAAGCTGTGTGTGTAAGGAATAAACTATAACTGAACTTCATTCATAATACATGAATGTATGTGAATGGCTCTGCTGAATTATTTAAGCTTTGCAATTCTTGTGTTCAAGAAATGCTTGTTTCTCACTTTAAAAGTGATCAGTCTTCTGTGCAATTTAAAGCAGACCAAAAGTTATCTTGTGTGTTTTTATCTGCGTTCAACCAGAACAACGGCTTAATTTTATCGTGAATATGTTTTGAACATACTAATATATTTTTCAAAATGGCTTAATATTTTTCCCCTATCATGGAAAAATAGTGTATCATGATATCTGCATGTCTGCACCATTCTTCCAAATCCTCTAAAAATTGTTTTCTGGTATTGGGTACTCCTGTTTGGTTGAAGATCTGCTGTAAAACCTATAGCATCTACTACTTTCAAATCCCTTAACATGGAGTAGTTTTGTTTATTCCAAAATGTATTTAACTTTTATGTGCAAAGTTAGACACTGAGAATACAAAACATTCTCTTCTATTTGGAGTAGAATATTAAACTACTTTAATGCATGTAATATATAGTGGCACCTTTTTATGCAAAACCATTTCAAAGTGCTTTATAAATCTCCTCAAAGATTCTAAATCCATTTCATAGAAAAGAGGATTTTTATTCTTCATATTTTTAAATTATGGATGTAGCCAAGGCACTCATTAAATGTAGAATAAATACACTACCACCTGAGTAAATTTTAGATGAGGTTACAGAATTACACTCTAAAGAGTTCCAAGTGGAGTCAGGAGGAAAAAAAAATAATATATATGTATATATAAAAATAAGTGGGAAAGATGTGGAAACACTTGACAGGTTCTTTGGGTTTTGTTGGTTTGTTGGGGTTTTTTTAAACCTACATCACCATATAGCTAGTATAAAAACTGGTCAGCTTTTCATTTCAAGACAAGATTAAATAAAATGAACAGAGGGTAGTGGTTCTTTTTACTGAAGGAAAGGCTTTCAGGAAAGAAATAAACATTCCATGTAGAAATAATTCTAAGCAATAAAAAAGGAGCTTTCTCCATAAATTTAGAGATCTTTAGCTGGTGTAAACTAGCATAGACCTGCTGGAGCTATTACACCTTCAGTGACTTAAATTCATGTAGAATCTGCCTTACATTATATAAAGACACTTGTGGAAAATCAAGATTTCACCAGTTTGAGCGCTGCTGACTTACTATGTCTCATCTGGAATCACAGTGCTCAGTTGAACTCCAGATGGGTTTCAGCTGGAGATAACTGATGTAGGGATGAATGTAAGCAGCTGGAAATACATATCAAAAAAAAAAAGAAGTTTGGAGAAGAGAAATAATTTTGTGGCAGAATTCACTACCCTCAAGATAAATCTATTGGTGAAATGGGCATCATTCTTAGTCTGTGGTGTACTGTTATTTGAAATCTGAAATGAAATGTATGGAGTTACATTTTTTTCTCCAGTCTGTGGCCCTATTGGTATGAGGAATTTACCTAGCTAGTTCTGACCCATGGGACTGTAGTGAAGTATGTTCCTTGCATAGGAGTTTTAATCTGCTGTTTCCTAAATCCTTTTCCTTTAATAGAACATAATGTTAACTTAATGATTGTATATGTGTGTATATATACACATATGCATATGTATGTGTGTATATGTATATATGTGTATTTATATATTTGAGACTATTATTCAGATGACCTGTTTCCAAGCAGTATTTTACAATCAAAAAATACACTGTGCTGCATTCAGAATATAATGTATAGTGACTGTGTTGAGTAAGCTTTTCAGAAGAAATAATCAACAGAAGTAGATCTGCTTTTGTGGCATGTTTACTATTTCAGCCTAATTTAAAAAAAAAAACAAATAACCAAACACGCTCAATTCAGTAAGACATTCAATCTGCTTCCTTTAAA